AAGTGACTCTTTGGCCTTGTTGTATAACCTGCTCAATCTAAACTACTTCTCAGACAACTGTGAGACTTATCCAGGGAGGAAATATAGAGAGGACATAAGCACATGACACTGTGAAAAATAATATGCCTATTGGCCATGTGAAATATCACTAATACAGCCACCAGATAATCCCAAATGTCTCCCAATAATTTCAAGATAAGCAGATCACCCCAGATCCTTTGGTGGTGTTTTTGTCCAAGCACCTATAAACAGTGTGTGAAGATGGGGAAGAGGAAAATTTAAGTCTGATTGTAAGGCATATGGTTTCAGATTAAGTTTTCTAGCAAAAATAGGTGAAATCTCCTCTTTCACTGGCTGCCATCTTAAAATGGCTCAATCAGAGACAGTATCTGTTTACACTAGAACAGAATCCAAATCAACATACCTTAACATAACATTTCTGTGTGCAGGCAACATCATGGGACTGGGTATGCTAAAAGGCCAACCTTCAGTTACAGCCTCATCCTTTTGGATCAATGTGTCTATCAGCTTCAAATCACTGACAGTTGGAAATTTCTTCCAGAACTTTCCTGCCTCACTTATCTCCTTGTTCTCAATTCTACTAAGTCATTTCTGTTCAGCTACTAAGTGTGATTCTTAATTTGTAAAATGTGTGATTATTACTTGAAATTAGTTAATATAGATAGTGTGTCAAGTACATGTGTTTAATAAACTAATTCTAGTTACTGCTCTTACTCTGGGAAGCTTTGTGTAGACAATGCATTAACTATTTCAGGGCAAAAAATAACTGACCTATTTCCACTTTAGAGTTTTCATTTGTACTGGGGATTTGTCTGTGCTAATGCAATAATAAGGCTGTACTAAACTCCTGGAATTTAAGGGAATGGTGTTTATAAGTAAAAATACAATGTGGACCAATAGACCAAGTTTTCTTCATGTCTTTTTCTTTGCCAAGTAAATATAATTCTTTATATTGAATCCTTACTAATAATTACATCCACAAATCATGACTTAACAGGAAAATGCTTTGAAACATTCAGCTCAGGGTATGTCAGAAGTCATCAAACACTCTTGGAATTGACTTTGTGGCCCTTCGTACTATGTCTAAGAAAGTCTCCAAAATGCATAGTGAGTTCACCAAATTAATAATGCTAGAAAAGAGGTATAAGGTCATTATTGTTCATTTAATGACCATTTAGGTTTGATTATATATGAACAAAAGAAAAATTCCATCAAAACTAAACTCCTAAAAATACTGGCCTAATTTTTAATGTTAAGTAACTCTGTAAAATTTGAGATGGTTTAATCTGTTGCTTAAAAACATTAGCTATTAAAAGATATACAAATAAGATAGTCATTGTCGTATTAGAATAAAATATCTATCCCAAACATTCCACATGTTTATGTTACTATATTATAAACTTTCTGCATTTTTTCTTTCAGAAGTGCACATAAATAATTTATATTACTGTAATGTTACATAAGACTCAAAATGTGGTATGAACATACAGAACAATCCACACTTAAATATATTATTCCATCAAAATTATCAGTGACTGGCTCACAAGTACTTATAGGCCACTATCTTTTAATGTCACTCCACATCTAAATTATAGACACTATACTATTAATTCACAAAGCAACAAGACTGCTATCTGTAAGCTCCAACTTCTGGAAGGAAACATTTTACATTTAACTTTTACATTTAACTAATGCTTATACTGCCAAAATGACTGAATATAATCAGAAGATTATTTTCATCAAGATGTTATAATCCATACATTAAAACAAATATCTCAATTTACTGACTTAAAATCTGAATTTTATGCTAGGGCATAAAATTCTCCCAGGAAATGGGAAGAGAAAGGCATCCCCCAGTTTTTCCAGAACATGCTTATTTCCTTTTGTTGCTATTTACTGAAAGATAATGAAAAAATAATATTTTGTTTGTAATGAGGATAGCTGTACATCTGGTGAATACAGGTAAAGAAAGTGATAGTGTATTTACAGCCTTGAGGACTTACATATTGGCCAAGTTCCTACTTTTTAAAAAATTTGTACTGAACATTGTCATGATTCTAAGATCTTAATGTAAAGTGTTCAAAACACTTTATCGCATTGTACAGAATCTTTTATCTATGTCTTCTAAAATGCTTTCCAACTAATTAAATATTAACTGTTCTCTCTACCATGGAAACTTAAATATAAAAATGAAATTACTTTAGGTGAAGAAAGGTCTTTGATTTACAAAGTCCAAGCAATGAAGTGTAAAACAGCATTAGTGTTCTCTTGCTCTGGGAGACTTTGTGAGTCACCAGGAGGGAGGAGAGGGGCAGGGATTGTTGGAGCCCATCCTCTGAGGTTCTGATGCAAAAAATTTTGAGAGGCCTACTCCTGACTCTGCACTTCTAACAAGTTCAAAGATAATATTTAGGCTGCTGATTAGGATTCACATGTTGAAAGACAACCCCCTATGATCTGTAAAACAGATCTGAAAAGTAATGCATACATTTTTTCCACCCACCTAATAACTGTGACATTAATCATGGCCAGAGATGCTGATTAATATTTTTCACTCAAAGCCAACTATATTCCTAGCTAAGTGACTAACAGCTATACCCATATTGAAATAAAACAAAGGCCACTGCCTTCATCACAATGACCAACTCAAGTAATGGAAAAGCATCCTCCTTTACTGGTAAAAGCAAGGGCCTATTTAAATTTTTTATTACTACTTATCTACTCTGCCAAGCTGTAACCTTATTCTTCTTGCCAACAGGGGACTTGCCTAAGTAGCCTAAAAGACTGGGAATGTCAGGAAAATGGAGCCATTCTTCCCTCATCCTTATAAATCCATCATTCCACCCCCCTCCCAGTCTCTCTGCCTCACTCCCCAACCCCCAGATAAGGTCTCTTGGTGCAGGTCTGTCTGGCTCCATAGGCCAGGGTGGCCTCAAAAACCACAGAGCTCCACCTGTCCCTGCCTCCCAAGTGCTGGGGTTAAAGCAGTGTGCCACCACTGCCTGGAATACCTCACATATTGTAAAAAAAAAAAAAAACTCCTTTCAGCTGAGTCAATCAGAAACAAAGACAAACTCAGACAGGAGATGACAAGAACTCAGAGGAACAGCTCTTCTCTTGAGCAGTTCTTGACCCTAGGTAGAATCCCAGCTTCTGCCTCTCTCTGCTTCTCAGGGCAAAAAGAATATAGTGGAGTCCTTTTAAGAGCTCTAAGTGAATCCTAGTTCTCTTCAGGACCCGCCCCCTGATCTCAGTCAAGCTTTCAGGAAATTGAGCATCTCTTTCCCACATTGAAGCTCACCAAAGCCAACACTGACCACCATGTTAGTAAGGTACTCTGCTAAAGCCAGAGATTTGATTTGGCGAGGAGAGGGTGGAGAAAAAAAGGAACTCAAGGTGCTCAGAGATGGGAGAAAGTGAAGGGATTTTGGCTAAGTCTAGAACAGAAACAGGAAGACAAGAAAGGGAGTGGCAGAAGGAGAAATCAAAGCTCTCAGTTGCAGACCACCCACCGCTTTCTGCCCCTCACCACACACTTTGTAGTTGCTTGCCCAGGATGGGATGCCAGAAAGAAAAGGCTCAATGGGATCTGCTGCACTTATCCACCCAGTGGAAACCAGCAGGACAAGGTTTCCAGGACTCCCAGTCCATGGTACCAGTAACCACTCAGCTGGCAATTCTGGAGACTAAAGGGAAGTCGCTTGGCTGGGGCTGGCACTTCCACAGACACTCATGGGTTGTTTTTTTTTTTTTGCCCCGGCACTTATTGACCTAGCCTACACTGAGTCTAAGGCAATGCAGCAGCATGAGTTTTCCACACATTTTGCAAGTACATGAGGGTGTGTGCTATAAGGGATTCTTGGCCTGGTCTATCCTCTAAATCTTCCCTTTTAACATTAACCTTGCATTATACCTGGAGAACACAAAAGTTCCTTTTCTTTTAGGGCACTGTCAGCTTGTCCCAGAAGATAAGGATATTTCAAGACACTATAGTCAGCAAAGAAAGATAATGTGTGTGTGTGTGTGTGTGTGTGTGTGTGTGTGTGTCTTAGGTGACAAAACACAAGAGTGCCAAATGCTGACAGGCAAAGGAACCAGGATTTGTTTGGGAGCACTTTAAAAGCCTTCCAATTAATAAGCTCACCCTTCACCCTAGGTCACAAGCCTCTTGCATCTGGGCTCTCTGAAGAGCTGAGATTTTGTTCTGGTTGTAGAGAGTGGTGTCCTGCCCTGGAGCAGAGATGCGCGGACTTCAACTTCAGTTCATTCATGCATTTGCTCATCCATTCACACAAACATGTCCCTTAATTGTGTCTGGCACTGAGAATCTTGCCTGCTATTTCCCCTCCCAAAGTCAGTGTTCATGGCAACGGCTGGTGCAGAATACAACTCAACTGACACCCCATTTCCTGAGCTGGAAAAGCAAGTCTTGTAGACATTCACAGAAAGGGAAAGGGGGAGATTTAAAAAACAAAACAACAACAACAAAAAGATTTAAAAAAAAAAAAAAACTTGGAAAGGGAACGGCACCCGCAGGTAGAGGGGGCCTTGCAGGAATTAAGGGATGAGGAGGTAAAAGCGAGTCAGGGGGGTCACATTCCAATGTTCCCTTTAGGGGAAACCACGGCAATGACACCGCGGCATGGAAGCAGCCAGACCATTATTAAACCCAAGACTGCAAGAGCCCGTGTTCCCCCACGGGGATAAATCAAGTGCAAAGCCACTCGTTTCCGTTCCCGTGAGTGTGAAGCTCTTGGCCCGACCCAACTCAGAGCCCCAGTCGAGGAGCCAGGGGAGCCGCTCACAGCCCAATCCGCAGCGCGCTCGCTGCCTCCTTCTAGCTCCCAATAACGTGATGAAGTGTAAATCAAATGCCACGCCAGGAGGGGCCCCGGAACAGCGCGAGTCGTGCATCTTAGCTCAGCATCCTATCTTGCCTAGGAATCACAAGGTCACGATAGCGTCGCGGTTCCACTCACCGTACACTCCTTGGCCAGAGATCCCCTCCAGGAGGACTGTCAGCAGCCACACGAGACCGTACACTAAATCCATCTTCACGTGAATATGAACATATCCAGCCCAACGGGGACGCAGTGGAACCTTCCGGAGGCCAGCGGCTAGCCAGGCGCGCTCCACTTGTGCCCGGGCCGAGTCGAGGTGCCCGGGAACTGCTCCCAGTGGGAGGAAGCGCCGTCCGTCCGTCTGTCCTTCCTTGGCGGCGGCCACGAGCAGAGCAGTGGAACCCCACACACCCCACACTCATGCACACATACACACACACAAGCACAGACCCACACACACTCTCGCACACACACACAAGCACACGCACGCACACACACACAAGCACACGCGTGAACACACTCCCACTACACAATACCCCAATACACGCACTTGCACGCAAGCCACACTCACACCGGGCGCCTGGGAAAATCGCAGACGCCGGGGAGGAGCAGGGGGCGGTGATGGGAAGCAGAGCCGCGAGGACAAGTGTTCTTCGGGGAAGCGGCTCTGGGCTCCGGGCGCCGGCAAGCGGCGGGAGCGGGCAGGGGCCCCGGGGGCGCCGCGCGATGCGAACCGCGCTGGTCAGCCAGGGAGCAGGAAGTGGCCTCTGACCCGGGCACGAAGCGGGGCTCCCTCGCCCGGGTTCGCCTTTACAAAGTAACTCGCGAAGGTCCCCAGAGGAGCGTCAAGCGGCGGCAGCGGCTCGCCCGCCCGCAGTCCGGAGCCCCCAGCCCTGCTGTCTTGCCTTCCCCCATTCCATCAGTTGCCATTGCAACGCCAATCCTGTTACACGGCACAGACTAGCATCGCCGAGCGGGGAGAGGAAGAGGAGGAGGAAGAGGAGGAGGAGTGGGAAACCGGGGATGGGGAGGAGGGAGAGGAGGAGGAGAGAGGAGGACGAAAGGGTCCAGGCAGGAGCGGAGTGCCTGTCTGGATCTCGCCAGGCACCAGCCTCAACCGCTTCTTCCACCGCCAAGGCGCTCCCGAACAGCCTTGAGCGCCCCGCCAGCGAAGAGGGTGCTCCTGCAGGCAGCACCGATGCCCAGAGCCAAAAGCAAGAGTCCGAGCACCACCACTTGTAGGAGAGGAAAGATGCCGAGCGGAGAGCAGATCCGCACACCGTCCACGCGTGACCACCGGTACCGCGCGTCCTCTTCGCTTCCGCGCCGCCCCCGCCAGGTGGAGGGGGTGGGGGCGGTCGGGACTGGCGGGAGTTTAGATCCGGGAGCTGCAGAAGGGCTTCCCCACCCGGGCTAACGGAGTGCTGGCATCCGGAGCAGAACGGAGGAGCGGCCGCCTGCTGAGGGCACCCTGGCTGCGTGGCCGCCTCGCGGGCCGCAGTTGCCGCAGAGATGCCCGAGCTGGGCGGAGGAGCGCGCGGGGCCCTATGCTTGCCCGGGATCCCTGGATTGGCGCTGGGGGTTGCGCGCCGCGGAGGCGAGAAGAGGGAGGAGGAGGATGGAGAAGCGGCCGACGCGGAGCGCAGGCGGCCCGGCTGCCTGGGAGGAAGGCTGTGTGTGGTCACGTTGTGCGCTACGTGCTGAGAGCGCGAGGCTGTTAGCCGCAGCCTGGCGACGTCAAAGCCGAGTGCGCGGCTCGGCCGCTTTCCTCTGAACCCCCTCTGCTTCCAGGCTCCTCCTTGGCTCTGCTCGCCCAGGGTCAACCCACAAGCTCATCAACATGGACGAGGGCTAGGGATCTCCGCGGGGCAACAGTACCCAGTCTCTCTTCTACTCAGCTGAGGCCCTCCCTGACTCTCCCTAGCTCTACGGGGGCGAGAGCTGGCAATTCATTTCCTATGCTGCCACTGGTTTTTGCACGCGGAAGGGAAGGGAAGGGCCAGCTACATCCTCAGACACGCGGTAATTACAGGACACCTTATTCCCTTCCTACCGTCCAAGGTCTCCCAGGATGTGTTCTGCTTGGCTAGAGGGCAGAACAGGCCAATGCATTGGAAGCTGCATCATTCTTCTCCATTTCTATCATGTTTTAGTGGAAATAGGCACATCATAACAGAGGGAGAGTGCGGGGAAGGGAAGAACACCAGGAGTTCAGAGAGGGTCGGTTTTATCTGTAATGCCTCCTAAAGTTAAATACCCAGAAAAGTCCCTTTTTTGTGAGGGAGGGTTCTGTCTTTGAGAAGGGACCAGCTCTGGGGTGCCTAAAATTCCCCCTAATAAAAAATGATGAGAAATCAAAGCATCTTTAATTTACACTAGAACAGGTGTAGAACTAATTCATCAAAATGTGATGGGAAATATCTGAGACCATTAGAATTGCTTTGAAGTGTTTCTTATTCAAATTAGTGTTTAATGCCTATAGTCCACTTAGCTAAAACCTGGTAGGGAAGTGAGTAAAATGGTTACATACGTGAATTTATACGTGAGAAAAAGTTATTGTCAGGAAAATCTCAAATACAGTATTCATTCAATAGAAGGACCCCAGCGCAGGGTCCTTCTATTCATGCGGTACTTCTGCTGGGGACAGGGAGGGGGAGGACTCCCAAACACCAGAAATGAATAGCCCTCAGTATTTTCACAATCCTTTCCTCACTTAATGAATTGTGAATACGATTTTTATAGGGTGTGAGCGAGTGCTAGCTCTCTCGGTTTACAAGGTACAAAGAACCAAGAATTTCAGAGGGGACCCAAGGATGGTTTACAGTGTTGAAGACAAGACCCTGTATATAAGAGAGACTACTTTCACTAGATGGAGTGAAGTATCACTTGAGGACAAAATTCAATGTTTGGTATTTCTCAAAGAAATGACTGACATTCTCTTACTGGTCACCTCAGGATGGGGGTTGTTTTATGATTTTGGTCTATTAGAAGTATCTCATTCCTAAAAACTGCAGCACAGCAATGTCCTGGGAATGCAATTCTCTTACATCCAAGCTCAGGGTATTTATCTTATGTGGGGGCTTTCTGGATTGTTCTTATCCTGAACCTTATCTCCATATTTACACTATATATTTTAACCATTAGTTATGAAGTCATAGGCTCGATGAGCCTTGGCAAAACTCTAGATAAGAAATTTTATTATCCTGACCAGTGTATCACTGTGGTAAAGTAACCCAGAAAATTGTGTGTGGTTCTAATGTGATTGGTCTTTAACACTCACTATCATGGGCATGGGAACTTTATTACCACTGACATAGATTTTTAAAAATATCACAGAGCCCTCAGCAATTTATGAGGGAAATATTTGGAGTTCAGAGACAATGTGGATAACCTGATCATTTTTCAATTTGTTTGAATAGGTGAATTAAAAATTTAGGAAAGAGTAGGGTACACCTACACTATGACACACTGTCCAATTAATGGATAAAGGACCAACAGATAATCTTCCATTCACTCAGCTCTTAGGTGGCAAAATGTATTGGGCAATACATGTATTGCCACTGCAAGTGTTATCCACAGTTTTAGAACATAGAATAGCAGCAATTTAGCATGCAACCCTGCATTGCATTGTTCATCATGAAAAAAGGAAAACTGCACTATACTTATTGTATCCTTTCACTTTCCTATAAAAAATATATATAGATAACTGACAGAATGAATTGGCCAGCTTATTTAGTAAAGATATTAATTTCCTCTTCAAATTCAATCTTTTTTTCAGTCTGCACTGACCAAGCAGGCTTGATATTGTAGTCACACCTGAAGTAGCACTGGCTACTTCAGGCCTCCAGGTGGTGAGCCTGAGCTGAGCCTAAAAGACAGGCAGGAGATGTCTTGCAGACAGAAGGTCCTGAGCCAGAGATAGCAGCTCCAGAACTTATTATAGAATCAATAGCAGGACACTATATGCAGCCCAGGTAGAGGGACTCCCTGCAGAAGTAGTGTGATTCCCTTCTTAGATCACCATTTTCTTTTTAATTTCTGTACTGAATATATATGTAATGGGGGATTTTGCACCTAAAGTAACCCTCTGTGACATTGCTAACATGATCAAATTCAACAATATTTTCTATAATAGTGGACACTATCATTTGTGATGATGAGTCACAAAAACCTTAGGGATTATCTCTTGCCAACTTGAATTAGTTTAGTCACCTGTTGCACTTTTATTAACTACAGTTTCATCTATTATTAAGTGTTCATTTAATATTCAATACTTCCATCTCTAGTCTCTAATATGAGTGAAATATTTCAACCTAAATGGTGTGAGGGAGACAATGTCACTGAAGGGTTCTTAGCAACTACTCATAGTAGTAGGACAGAAATAAGAAAGAATAGAAAAGACAGACCTGGTAGCACATACCTGTAATCCCAGCTCTCAGGAGGCTGAGGAATGGTGATGGGTTCAGGTCCAGCATGGACTATAGAGTAAAGAAGCAAGAATTGATATGCTAAGGCTGGAGATAGAACTGAGAAGGGAAAATGCAGAACATCAATGGCAAATCTGCCTTCATTTTTCCAATCTAGTCCCTTATCATCCTACAAATACTAGGCCTTGCATGCTATATTTATCCTACTTCCTGGCAGACAGTTATATCACACAAACTCCAATCCACACTACTCCCTGAGCCAGACGATAAAAGGAAACAGAAATGAGAATAGTGGCTGATCTACATGAAATCTTCTGGAAATTCTACTCACAGACAAAATCCATACTTAACTGTGCTTGTTTCAGTGTTCTTGGTCACAGATTTCAGACCCCACACCATAACTTGGTGTGGCTATTAGCCAGCCTGATTAGCTGCATATCTAAACCAGTAGCTTAGCCATTTAAGCTCACTTCTGGTATTTCCAAAAATTTGGCAAGCTCCATTGTTCAGTTGTATACCAGAGACCCAACTCTTCCTTGACCAAAAGATCAATCCTTTTAAAGCTAGCTAAAATTACAACCAAGTTGGATAAACCCCCCCCCCCCACACTTCGGAGCTACCCATCTAATTCACAAAATCTGTACCAATAAATGTTTTCTTAGCAAAATCACTGCCCATCAGCTTTCTTTCTTTCTTTTAATTTAGCAATAGACTCAAATTTTGAACCTCTGAGCAGCATCACATGCAATTGATGATATGACTTAGGAAGACAGGAGCAGGACATTGGATTAGGAATGTCCTAGCTTGTCCCAAATGCAGGAGGAAAGTAGTGACACTTTAGCAATGGAATCTACTACCTAGCAGTGTTAGGAATGAGTTAATGGCTAGTTTGTGGAAATAGAACTGGCCATCAACAAGATTTTAGTGTGAACAAAAGGAATGAGAATGGCAAGTACTAATACTAGAGCTAAGGAAATTAAGTTGAATGCCCCTTAAATGAACTGAAACAAAACACTA